CTAGTCGCTTCCTGCAAAGGAAAACAACATAAACTCTGGCTGGATTAGCCACTTGGCTTGACTACAGACTTTGCCATGACATGTATTTCCTGGCAAGTATATAGACAATTTCTGACGGGAAGCTATCGTTTCATCTTCCCTTTTTTAATATTTTTTGTGTGAGATATTCTTTTGTATATTTCTCATAACCGTGCATTTTTCTGGCAGAGAAGTGAGACTAAACCCAAGTGCTGTGCAGGTAACAATAAGCTGAAATTTTTTCCAAACGCATTGTCACTGATAATTTTGATTTTCATGCAACCTCAGAATTGAATATTTTTTCATTAGAAATATAATTTTGATTTTGTATCTGACATCAACAGGCTGAATATGAGCTTTTCAAATCCTTTGCTGGGGAGAAAGGCCAGTGCCTGGAGTATATTGAATGGACACTAGGTGAGGGCAATAATTGCTTTTTTTTTAACGGATAAGCAAACCGTTTAAACGTTTTTGTTACAGCGTTAAACGAATCCAAATTTTTTTAAACGGATGCAATTTTTTTTAAAGGCTGATAGTTTCGAAAGAAACTGTTTGGGGCTGCGTCGGTGGGAGTAACGAAATAATTTGGATATATCAACAAAGTTGAAATGGTAAATTGGCCACCGAAACAAAAGCTGACGTTTCGAGCGTTAGCCCTTCGTCGGACGAAGGGGCTAAACGCTTGAAACGTCAGCTTTTGTAATCGTTACGGTGGCCAATTTACCATTTCAACTTTGTTGATATATCCAAATTACTACAAAACTAGTTTCGTCCACAGACCTCTTCAGTTATACAACTGAAGAGGTCTGTGGAAGAAACTAGTTTTGTAGTAGGCGTGTTTTAAAGTGCGTTGAAAGTTAATTTTAATGAGGTTTTTGTTTTTAATATGATGATGAATGATACTTTCTTAGCTTCGACAATCAAAATTTCGCAAAAATATATTGCAAAAAGATTTTGCTTTATTAAGAATTAAGAATGACTTGTTTACTTTGAGAGCCGGGAGAGAAAGCCAACTGTGTTTGTAGCACAACAAACTCATAAGAGTCGTTTCTGTTTTATTTGTTTTGACTATCTTCAGCCACTTTTTGCATTTCCATCGCCGAAATTGTTCAAGAATTACGAACTTAGTTCTAATTCTATTTTTTTCATGCACGGGATCAATATGGGCAATCCTGGGCGGGCATGATGGCCCATGTTCGGAAGCGAAACGGAAAATCAAACAGACACGTTTATTCCAACACGGAAAACTGTAGACTCACGGTTAACGACAACGACCGTTAAACAAACCGCTTGTCCATAAAACTAAAACTCTTGCAACTCTTCTGTAAGAAATTAAAAAGGTTCGCGCGATTTGCTTACGATGTTTTTAACCTACGTAATCACAAAGCACGCGTACGCGAGTCGCGCGCGCACGAGTTCGTTGACGTCTTCTTAACAGCCCATCTTGCCCAATCGGGTGGCCAATCAAAACACAGGATTCGCTTCATCTTGCCCACTGGCGCTGCGAGCGATGTAATAAAACACGGTCGTGGTGTATACTTGATCCACTCAATTATTTACACATAAAATTGAAAATTACTCAAGTAATATTAGAACCATACTCTTGCAATATTATTGAAGGTCAACGTCACTGAAAGGGCTTGACATTCGATACACAAAGACAAAAAGTGAATACAGTCACATTTATTTCACCAGATCACCAGTTCAGTAATGGCTGCCATGCCCCGCCATGGCAGCAGGTTCATGGCGACATCAGCTACCTTGACATCAAGCCGTTTGATAATGACAAATTGACTATCACTGCCAACACTGCCGGTTACTTTCTAAACAAAGGCTTGACACAGGAGGGGCAGGTGAACTTTGAAAGAGTGGGAGATGTGTATCCCACACTTGTGGCACTCCTGAAAGCAAAAAGTCCCCAGTTTGCCACTGCTATCGAGAAGAAGGTATTTTTCAATGTGCTTGTTAAACTGATACAATTATTTTTCTCACAAATAAGATATATTTAAGCTCACCAGTAATCGCCGCTACCATCATTGGCTTTGTTTGGAAGCTCGGCATATTAACTGCGCCCGCGCTCCTTTAAATCGTGATGACGGCGGCTTACTACCTGATGTCTATTTACACCTCGTCAGTAAAAAGGGCAGCTAATTAGTGAGCATTTAAAAGGGCCTCTTGTTGCAACGATCAGATGACCCCTGATGAAGGCACTAGACAGGAGTGTCGAAACGTTGGGTCAATGAATTATGATTTCGGTTGTATTTATTAAATCTTTAAAGCAGAGTAGCATCAAACTATGTCTGATAAATTATTATAAATCCTCAAATGACTGTATGGGCCCTTCTTTCAAATTTACTGTAGGATAAGATGGTGAATTCTTATTTAAGGCGGGCGCTTAATTGGTCATGCAAATGAACCATTAATCTTGTAAGCATCAGCACTTGTCTGAAAAAAAAAAAAAAAAAGAAAGGAAAGCAGGGAAGGGATGGATGGGTGCAGATAGTTAAGGTGGAAGGCATAATATTTCAAATGTAAGCTGAAGGTACAGGAACTTATTCCAAGGGACGCTTATTTCTAAGGAATCACTAAATCAAGGATTATTGGTACTTTTATCTCTTTTGAGCAATCAAACTGTTGTTTAATGTTTGTAGGAGTTTGCGTATTATGGTTCCTCTGAAGAGAAGCAAGACAGAGTTGAGCAGATTGATAAACCTGCCAAGGACGAGGAACCCAATGGATCAGCTGCTGAAGAAGCTGTTGATGTAGAAACTAAGAATCAAATAAAGTAAGCTGTGAAAATTTACCATATACATAAATCCAGTGCTGTTCAGTCAGCCTCTCCACATTCATAGCCACCTCGTGTCGCTATCTATTATAAGGGGTTACGATGATTTCCCACATTTCTTCTGCCTTTGCGTTGAGTCTTGTTGTCGCTTCTTTGCAGTACATTTTATTTTGATTTCGAATTCTCGAGTTTCTTTTTTGAAGCTCAAAGCCTGTGAAAATTTTTCTGTAAAGCGAGGGTCTTAGAGTGGCGTAGAGCTATTATGTATCGTTCAGAAATGAAGATTAAGTCCAGAGTTAATTGGATATTGGTGCCCCTTTTCCAGCCATTGACTTCAACTCTGTTAGAGAAAAAGTGAAGAAAATCTTACGTACACGGCAAACGCGAAACAGGTTACTTTCACGTAGAAACGGCAAAGTGCAACTGGCAAACGTAGAAAAATAGCGGGAAAAACAAGGTCACGTGGTCACTCTTGTCGTTCACATCTCACATAAACGCGGTGCTAAATCTCTCTTTTATTAGCGCCGTAGGACGCGGGTTTCTCTGTCCATGGGACAGTGGCGGATCCAGGGGGGGAGGGGCCGGGGGGGTTCCGGACCCCCCCCCTCTAACAGACCTGATGCTTACAACTTTGAAATTGAAATTCTTACATTGACAGGATCGTATATCACTTTTTAACTAGCTGATCTTTTTAATGAATCCAAGTAAACGGTAAGCGACCAAGGAATTATAAAGTGCAACCGTGACTGGTGGGAGGGGGTGTGGGGGAGAAGTAATTTCCCTCAAAAGAGTCCAACAGTCCTTTCTGAACCAAAGTTTGGACCCCCCAATCAAAAATTATTGGATCCGCCCCTGTGGGAAGATGGGAGACAAGTGCTAAATCCCTTCCAGACCTTTCGCGGGCTCTCGTTACTCAAGGCCTCATACATGTATTTTCCCGCGGGCATGCGCGTCCGATATACAATACCATAAGGGAGAGACAGACTGAAGCCGAGAGAATAAATCGTAGTTGCTAACATATTGAGATGTGCATTCATTTTTTTTTTTCTGATTTCAGCGCTGCAACAAAGACGAAAGCCACTAAAACATCGCAGAAAAAGAAAGGAACGAAAGGCGCAAAAACATACGAGACTTCACCGCGCTGGAAAAACATTAACATTGAATTTGGAGCTGATCTTGTCGGAAATGATCTGTAAGTGTACGTCTCGGTTGAATTTAAAGTTTTGGTTAATTGCCATTCTATGTGTTGAGTTGACACATGTTGATACGTATTTTAAAGATTTTTATCCGTTCAATCACGAATAACTTAGTCGGGATATTATTCTGATTATAGGAAAAAGGGTCAGCAGAAGGGGAAAAGCACTCCAGACAAGAAACCATCGTCCAGGCTCACCAAGAGCAGGTTACATTATTACCCTATAAATCAAAAACTATTATTGGCAAAATTCTCGAACGTGATTGGTTATCACCAGCCCTATTCAAGCACTCATAGCACAGTGTTCGCGTCATGTGCGCACCATGTGCACGCGCTGTTATCGTCCATTTTACCGAGTTACCTGGTTTTTTTTAAATTATTATTATTAGTAGTATGAAAACGTATTACCGATGGCTAGTGTGTTTTTCAAATTGTGTCATAGTGTTGTTTAATTGGCAACAAGACTTCGTATCGTCCAACGTAATCAACAAATCACTGGTGTGATCACAGACCGAATTGGATTCCACTCAGTCCTACATGTATTATAATAACTTTTTGTAATTTCAGAGCTGAACAAAGAGTTTCCAGTAATCTGATTGGTCGAGCGGTTCCTTATATGACGCTATATAAACCGCTCCACGCGGTTTATATAAAATGTTAAWCTAAAATATTAATAAATGTTACTAAAATGTTATGATTTTAGAAATTTCTCTGTTGTTCAGCTCTGAAATTATACAAAAACAATTATTCGCCTCAGGTTCGATGAATATTGTCGAATAATCCCCTCGACATCGTCTCGGGGATTATTCGACGATATTCACCTCGCCTTCGGCGAATAATTGTTAATTAGATAGCAATATTATAATTGCCTTTAAATGCATCAGTGGCTTAGCATCACAGTTCCTATGCTAAAAGTTCAGTAAAAGAAAGGATAAACACAATTATGCAACAAGGATTAAAGAAGATCTTCACATTATTAAATATCGAACGGCAAGTGGCCAACGTACATTCTTATACAGAGCAGCTAAGATTTGGAACTCTTTAGACACTTCTTTAAAATCTAATGTAAATATCGCTACTTTTACAAAGAAGTTCAAGTCTATCTTGATAGAGAAATTTATTGATGAATGATAAAATTGAAAGTTGAAGTTGAAAGTTGATTGAAAGATGATCATTTTTTTATGTATGTATTTGTGAATTTTTCAGTTTTTGTAAATTGGCATTGAAAAACCACTTGTTGGAATGTCAATAAAGTTTGTGTAGAATTGTATATCATTATCATCGTCGACATTATCATTGTCATTATCAACTTCATAATCATCGACCTTTGTCATCAATATCAGTAGGATTCTTTCAACATCTCCGAATGTAAAATTTATGAACCCCACAAATTCTTTTGTTCCATAGAGATGCGGGCAAGAACACACGGGTATCAATGCGTTCACAGATGAAAGGTGACATGGACGAGGACTTCAGTGAAAGCTCGTCTGAAAGTGAGGAGGAAGAAGAGAGCCAAGACAGAAGACAAGTATGTGAACTTTTTATTAGAGCTGGAATCCGTTAGGAGAAGACAATCTCAGTTTTAGAGCCAGGAGCAAGCTGTAGAATGCACCTGCTGATAATGTTCTCTTTTTCTACATTTTTCCTTCCTAGGAGTCAAACGCAGATTTGCCATCAGAATACTGGCAGATTCAGAAGCTTGTCAAGTATTTAAAAGTATGTAAACATTCATGTGCTTTTACTTTTAAAGCGCTTAGGATCTGTATTCCCGCTAGGGCTATCAATACACTCATCAGAAAACACCACTCTGATCGACATTTGAATTCATAGCACCCTTAGCGTCGACGCGTTGAAACGGATATCGTGAGAGGGTGGATACTGGGATTCGTCGCGTGGACATTGCTTAAAAGAAGCGTTTTGCTTGATGAAGGTATCCACTGAAGGACTGGCTTCGGACACATCTCCTTCCCTTCGCATGCTAAGGCTGGGTATCCTTAGGGGCCATGCTCCTCTAACCCACGCTCTTTTGAGCAATTTTCAATCGATCTTCGAAATTTATTCTACGATCTTTGCTTCATTTATAAAGCTTGCGCGATGCTTTCAACTATCAGATCACAACCTTCAATTGATCACTTCATTGCAGAGTGGTAACCAGACCGCTACTATCATTGCACTGTGTGCTATGAGGGACTTCAACCTTCAACAAGAGACTTGCCAGCTGGCCATCAGAGATGTCGGTGGGCTGGAAGTGCTAATAAACCTGCTGGAAACTAATGAAATCAAATGCAAGGTGATAAACCCAATCCGTGATACCATTCTCTTAATTTCAACGTACCTTTAAAGCTTAAAATGTTCGTTAGTTAGGTAGAAGGTGTAACTAAACCTAGTGTCCTTCACAAGTTATTCCTTCCTAGTGTTCCTTCCAGCGCAGATGAATGGATATGTATGGGACTCCGCCAGCGCACTTATTAGTAGAGGCTTCTATGAGACTCGGCTAGTGCCCTAATGCATAGAGGCTTCTTTGTGAATTTTAGGTGCTTGATTCTCTCTTCTTGTATCTTGTAGATTGGATCTTTGAAGATTTTACGAGAGATCTCGAGAAATTCCCTCATCAGAAAGGCGATCGCTGACTTGGGAGGTAAAAAAGAGTCCTTTTATTCCAGTTAGACATGAAAGATGTTGGGTGGTGGTCATATTCCTGTAGGGTTGCTACGTTGTGGAACAGCCTTTCCCATGAACTCCTATCAACAGTTTTGCGGCTAACAAACCAAACGTGGATCTAAAAATCTCTAGTATCTAGCAATAGCAGGCGAAAATAACTCTCATTGTAGGATACCGACTATGTTGTCCACTTTATAAATTAAACAGCACGATGGTCTCGTTTTTTAAGGTTTGCAGACTATGGTCAAACTACTTCAAGGCTTCAACGACGAACTTAAATGTTTAGCTGCTGAGACTATCGCGCATGTGGCGAGGTTCAGGAGAGCGAGGCGCACTGTCAGGCAATATGGCGGCATACGAAAATTGGTATGTTAATAAACTTTTACACCGTAACATCAGAATCCTTATTCTTCTTACTCATCTCTGTACGTATCCTTCTGTACTGACAAGGAGAATTCTTCTAACAATTCTTCTACTAGTTATGTGAAAAGCACAAAAACTGACCGTTTTGGAAAGTTTGTAACGAACAACTTTGCCACTTATTTAAAGCAAAATGTATAATAATCCATTATTTATTATTGTATTTTGTAAGCTTACTTCCATGTATACAATTTGCTGACTATACCTGTAATTCAGATTTTCTGCAAGGGGTATAAATAAACAAGCAAACAAACAAACAAACAAACAAACAAACAAACATCAAAGCTTCCCAGGTTGGCGATCTTTTCCTTTATTCTCATGATCTATGTGAATGATTCAGCCGTATCACTGGGCTTAAATGGTTAAGGGAAAAAGATTCTGAAGCACTATTAGGTTTTAGCGAAGTCAGATGTCTGTAAGGTTCCACGATTTTTTGAGGTAGCTTCGGTATTTTTCCTACAGAAACAAGCCATTTGAACGCTTCTGTTCTCGAGATATATCGTATTTGATTGACAGGTGTCACTGCTAGATTGTGGAACCCTTGTGAATGCATCAGATCTCGAAGCTGACGTTGCGCGATGTGGAGCGCTCGCTCTGTGGAGCTGCAGTAAGAGTACCAAAAACAAGCAGGCCATCCGAAAGGCAGGGGGGATTCCTTTACTGGCCAGACTGCTCAAGTCTAGCAACGAAGCCATGCTTATCCCTGTTGTGGGAACTCTCCAGGAATGTGCTTCTGAGGTTGGTTTAAAATAATGAAGCAGAAGTAGCTTCAATGTCAAAAGAGAACAATTTCAATGGAGTGTCGAAAGTAATCCGGGATTGGTTGCTTGTTGCTTTTCTTCGTCCCGTGATTGATCCATAAAACTCGTGCCACTATCTCAACCAATCACGAGCAAAGCAATCACGACTTGGTCGCGAGCGTTTTCCAGCGCTTTAGACAGTTTGTTTGATTTCACTTTGAATTCTCATTGGCTCTTAAGATATTTTTATTTCTTCGGATTGGCTGTCGTAATTTTTTCGGTTTTTGTTTTACGACACTCAATCGAAACGCGCTCTATCGTCTTTAATTTTTCCGTTTCGTTGGTTTTGGATAATAAATGATGTTCTCCCTTGCATCTCGCGGGGCTGCACACAGATGATAGTTTTTTATTCAAATGAACCGGTTTGGTCGTTTCTTGTCAGGCTAGCTACAGACTTGCTATTCGCACCGAAGGAATGATCGGAGATCTTGTCAGAAACTTGAAGAGCGAAAATCAAGAGCTTCAGATGCATTGTGCTAGCGCCATCTTCAAGGTAAGAAAATAACCGTGTGACATTTGATATGTCTGACTGCTTTTTGTGACATTTGATATCCTTGACATACACTGCGTGAAACGTAACATTCTTGACTTTGCTCCTTGACTATACTCTGTGAGATGTGACATATTTGACTATTTCTTGTGACATGTGACATCCTTGTGGTTTTGGCCTTGATTTTGTGACACTCGATCGAAATTCGTTCAGATCCCAGTAGCGAGTGCAGTGCTTTTATATACTCAACTTTGTACGAATAACTAACAATTATTCACCAAAGAGGAGGTGAACATTTGTCTTGTACCATACAGAAATCGAATTTAACTCTTTATGCACGATGTTTTCCCTTCTGCTGCGCGGAGGTGAGCAGTCGTTGCGAATCTTTTCCTATCTAGCAAATCAGCTGCACGAAAAGCACTATTTACCTGTGAGATATATATATCTTATTAACCAAGCGCGAGGGCCGTACAGGGAGAATATCGGCCCGAGGTCTTGACAGTACAGACCGAGTGCAGAAAAAGAGACAAAAAAGACCGAGGGCCGATATTCTTCCAGTACGGTCCCGAGCAAGCTTGGTTAATAAGAGATTTATTAGACGACTGAAGTTCAAAGGGACACAAGTGCGGTATCATTCAGGACCATTCGGGACAGTGCCCCGACCAATACTGAGAGAATATTGACCGGCAATAGAGCATTTTGATTGGTTGATTTTAGTTATTGGCCCTCTGACTGCCCGAGTCGTGTAATAAATACTTACAGTGTTTAATAGTATATACACACTCAGTGATCTTGGCGTTTCAAGCAATCTGATTGGTTCGCTATCTCGGGCTAATCAACAATGTACACCTCCGAGCGAGTGGATAATGTGAAAAACAAAATGGCGGACATAAACTCGCTTTTCGCTAAAGTTTCAGACGCAGAAATTGCCTTTAAATGGCTTCCTTTTAATTTTGTCGAGATCACTTCATGTGTATATACTAAAACAATTATTCTTTTTAATGGCTTTCGGGCATATTTAGCCACTATTCACCTCGATTTCAAAGAATAATTGTTTACTATTCATATATTTGTTTTCAGTGTGCCGAGGATGACGAGACCCGTGAGCTTGTTCGAAAGTATGGAGGCCTGGACCCACTGGTATCTTTATCGTTTAATGTTGAGAATAAAGAATTACTGGCAGCTGCCACAGGAGCCATTTGGAAATGTTCCATCAGTCGAGAGAATGTAACAAGGTAAAGAAAAATAAAACCCAGCGGCCTCTCCACCGTGGGATCTTGTTTTCAAAAAGGAAGTTTTGGTTAGTGTTTGGAACACGTTATCTTAAATTAAGTGTGAATTAACCGATTCAACTATAATGCTGGCTTGACACCCAAGGGTACTTATGATACGTCAGTATTTCGAGTAATAGCTTTAGTTTTCGTGAGGTGTAATGCTGAAGAAAACTTATGGTGTAAATTGAAGTATTGGCTTATTTTGAAAGAAGTAGTCATTGCCATCACGCCAGCCTTGCGGTTAAACTGGTCCCTTTGTCAGAAGCTTAAGGCAACAATAATATCTGAGAGGATTTTGTTAAAGATAAATTTCTTCAGTTCTTTCTGTGGCTTTAAGCTTAAAAGCTTTAACCGGTTGTCCCTTTTCTTATAAAACTCAAGCCTTTCCTTAACTTGCAATCAAGGTAGGAAACCTATTTCGTTAGTTCAATAAGTACAGGGTTTGCAGGTATCACAAAGTATTTCAGTATCAGTTGATATCATTGCCTTTTATTCTCAACAGATTTCAAGAACTAAAAGCTATCGAGCAGTTGGTGTCATTGTTAACAGAACAACCTGAGGAAGTAAGTGAATACTAGATCGATATGCATATTCTCCATACTGTTCTTTATACATTTCCTAAGGTGTTGACAAAGAGAATTTGTTTAACAATCAAGAGTTTCTGTAGTTGGTGATCATCATCTTAATTCTTGTGACCTTGATGTGTGATTCAGGGGTGATCTTGTTAGGAGAAATTAGATGTTAGTCACTCGTAGTGGTTAAAGAGTTAAGTGACCTGCCATATTAGGATACTGTCGCTGAGATATCATTTGTCCTGTAATGTGTAGGTTTTAATCAACGTCGTGGGAGCCTTGGGCGAGTGTGCCAAAGTGCCCGCAAACAGAGCAACCATCCGGAAAGCTGGTGGAATACCTTCTCTGGTGAATCTGCTGACCAGTACAAACCAGGCTCTTTTGGTCAACGTTACCAATGCTGTAGGAGCCTGTGCGACCGAGCCTGATAACATGGCGTGAGTATCGGTGCTTCCTTGTTTTTCGTTTTAAGCTATCCATTCTAGTGAAGACACAGCTCAACTGGGATGGGGTGGAGAAGGGATAACTTGGCCCAGGTGGGAGTGGGTTGGGAGGGAGATTGGATGAAATCATTATTTTTTAATATAGCCCCTTGTCTGCTCGGCCTTTTAAAATACATGAATACTGAACGTCTGCTGAACGAGTATAAAATTTGTCCGTTACCACATTGTCACTTGTAGGGCATTAAGGCTCCTTTAGTTACTGTAATGTTATTCTAACTTGCAAACAGTTCCTTGGTTCTGCCTCCCCCTCGTTCACTTCAACCACAATTATCTTTTTCTTTCTACATATGTTCTTCTTTTGTGTTCTTTCCAAGACGCTCGTACTTTTCGAGACAAAGAATTAGAAAAAACCTAGCTGTAGTTAATAGGCGTTCGATTCCCTTGTTGTTTGTTTGTTTGTTTTATTTGTTTTGTTTGCATTGGGTGATATTTATATTTGAACTTTTCTCACTCCAGTATCATCGATCGTCTTGACGGAGTGCGTCTGTTGTGGTCACTGCTCAAGTCTAATAACCCCAAGGTTGGTTAACTTTCACTGTATGTTCCTCAAATGCGGGAACGTCTCGTCACACTCGAATACAGACTGTGCGGGTAAGAGCAGCGAGGGCGCAGAAAAAGCCAACAGAGGGAAGCTCAAAAAGAAATAAATAACGTAGGAAGTTCTTCACACGCAATGTTTGGCACGTACTGCCTTTTACAAAAGAGTAGAGTGCGCGCGCAGCTTGATTGCTGTAGCTAAATAAGCTTTGGTAAACTTTTCACAAATAACTGTTATCATGCTCTGTTTATACAGGTGCAGTCGAGTGCAGCCTGGGCTATTTGCCCCTGTATTGAAAACGCTAAGGTAAGGGAAGGATCGATCTTAAGCTCTTTGGACTTTTCGGTCCAAAGCTTTAACACTGAGCAACAAAGAACTCGCTCGTGAGCGGCTTAGCCATTTCAAGGCTCATACGTGACAAGGGTCTCGCATAACACAAGAGCGTCGGGTGTGTAAAGGGGTAAAGATAAATTAAAGATTCTGGGTTCTGTCGTCAACAAAAATGTCTGCAGAACCAGCCACCATATTTTCTAATTATTTCAGTGTAACAGATTCCACCTTTTAATGTAAGCTCCATTGCTTTTACTTTTTAGGACGCTGGAGAAATGGTACGATCGTTTGTGGGAGGACTGGAACTGATTGTTAGCTTGCTGAAGTCTAACGACAGAGAGGTATCTCGATACGTGACTCCTTTAACCCTTTACACCCTGATATCGGTATGGATATTCTCCATACTGTTCTCTAAACATTTCCTTTGATAATAACAAGGGGAATTTGTTTAACAATCAAGAGCTTCTTTAATTGGTGATCATTGCCTTTTTTGTCGTGTCCTTCGTGTTTGAATCAGGGGTGATACTGCAAGGAGAAATAGTCACTCTTAAGGGGCAAAGTTCCAGTCGCGATCAAAATCTAACTTTTCCTAACAATATCAATACATTATTTAGCTAAAGTGATGCAAATGAACAAAGCTATCGGCTGAATGGTGTCATATTGATATAACAAAAAATACTCTTCACGATTTCCAACCAAGCCGGTGACTGTGTTAAGCATCCAAAGGAGAGAATTTCTACGCAGATATTAGTAGGTTAAGGGCTCTACCTACTCTACACCTCTTACCATACGGAATCGTTTCTTGATCAAAGTTAGAGCGGTGTAGTTGGCTTTTACGAGGTTCGTGGTAGTGTGTTTCAGGCGCCCAATTTGTGGCGACACGGCAGGGTGAAAGGGGAAGAAAAACAAAGGTGGATGGGGGACCCGAGAGTCGTATCTCCGTTGACCGAGGTGCTGGCACAGGTTAGACTGGAGAATTGCAGGAAGATGATGGTGTTCTTAATTTTCTATTTCACCCTTACAGGTTTTGGCTAGTGTTTGCGCAGCCATTGCCAACATAGCAAAAGATGAAGAAAACCTTGCAGTCATCACAGATCATGGTGTGGTACCCATGCTTGCAAAACTGGCGACGACGGTGAGATGTGATGCAATAAACTGTTTGAACTTGTTTATCGATCGAGTTTACTCTCTGGCTTGAGAATTTTGCGATCCAAGTGAGCGTAAAAATACTAACAGTAATGTACGTGGGGAATTTTAGACAGTGGTTAGTGTTCATAGACATGTAACTAGTTTAGAACCGTGTTCAGTTGGGTGTCGTAAAATGAAAACCAAAATTATCCCTACAGCCAATCAGCGGAAACGAACACTGCACAACGGACCAATGTGAATTAAGAGTAGTAAGCAAGCTGCTCAAAGCGCGGGAAAACGCGTGCGACGAAGTCGTGATTGGTTTTGGTTTTGAATCTGATTGGTTGAGAGGATGGTGGGAGTTTTCTGGACCAATCACAAACCGTAGAAAAGTAAAAGCAATGAAATCCTTGATTTCTTTAGAAACTTTAATGAAAATTTATCATACTCAACAAATGTTAAACGTGATAACGTTTCGCTGTAGGGGAACCATATTTTCTCGAGGTTATGATGCTAAACTCAGTTGTGAATCACTTAAACAGGGATTTCAATATTGTCCTTTATGTTGATTTCAGACCGATGATCGTCTACGTCAGTACCTAGCCGAATCAATTGCCAGGTAAGTGCGACTTTTAAGAAGAATAGCATTTTTGTTGACTTGTGGCCAAGATCAAAATAAGCTTAAGGCAATGGTCTAAACACCCAAGGGAGATGAACCAGTAAAACAGACAGATAATTAGATAGAGCACCCTCTTTGGGCAAATGACATATGCCTGTGGATTTTAAGATCTTGAGTAGTCTTAAGTTTCTTACTGGTCACGCCGCTGTGCAGCAATCACCGCTGACTGGTTGTTTGAGGTCATAGATTGGCGCGTGAAAGAGACCCGGTGACGAGGTTCTCTATCAGATGGCCTACTGACGTAACCTGAGGGGCCATAGAAAAGTAGTGCACGGGCACAGAGGGTGACTTACATTTTCTCAGACGAAGGAAAATCTATTAGAACGATATGAGTGCAAACAACAGCACAGCACATGTTTACTTTGATGACAGAACATTAACTGTTGATTTCCTGAACGTCTTAGATGTTGTACTTGGGGAAACAATCGAGTCGCCTTTGGTCAAGCAGGAGCTGTGCCCCCATTAGTGTACTACCTCAAGTCAAAGAACCCGGATGTACACAGGGCTACTGCGCGTGCGCTTCATCAGCTGTCCCGTGACCCAGATAATTGCATTTCTATGCATAACAGTGGCGTCGTTAAGGTATTATTTCATTTCATGATATTGTTTTTTTTTTTCTCCAAATTTCACCTTAAATGGACCGCGGTATTTATTTATGATCTTCTTTTATTCCTCGTCATTTTATTTTTAGTATCTTCTTGAAATGGTTGGTTCGTCCGACGAAGTTCTCCAGGAGGCTGCCGCTGGTTGCCTTGGCAACATCAGGAGACTTGCATTAGCCAATGAGAAGGCTCGATATAACTGATGAAGGTGGTCTGGGCAGCTTTGGTGGATGAATGATTATTTTCTTATTAAAAAAAAAAAAAGAAAACTCAAAGCTGTACTGTTGTAAAGGTCTTTCAGTCATAATTTCCTCGTAAAACCATCTTAGAAGCGATTATTTTGGTAAACTGTAATATAGAAATGGTACTGTGTCGAAGTTGTTGTACTTTCAGGTTAGGCGAGAGGAAAGTGATTTTGTTTCATTTTCGTTAAGACCAAACGTAAATAAAATATTTATTTCCTATAGGAACATATTTGTGTTTTTTAGTCAATAGTTGTTTTCTAGTTATTTCGGGGAACATTGAGGGTCGAGGGGAGTTAGTAAGGGGAAGGGAAGAAAATTGGTGAGTACTGTTCACCCTAAGGAATGGCACGTGAAACGTTCTCCTCCAATCAGGTAACGTATTTGAACTGGAGGTATAGCAGGCGTTATACCTCCAAGTATACGCGGGCGTTAAATTTGAAATTACACCTCTAGTACGCCCCAAAATGTACCTCTCTCTCGTCTCATTAGCACTACTTATAGGATATCAGAGAAAGAGAAATTAGAAATAATTAAAACCTCCTCGTCGATATTCCTTAGATGAATGGTAAATTGACTTGACATTCCCTCCCTGTTTATCCATTTACTGTATTTTGAAACATTTGAGTCAAATTTGGGGTCCTTTTCCTGCTATTTGTTTCCTGGCATTTGATGGAGCGAAAGAAGTTATCCCCGCATTGTTTCAGTAGATTCACAGAATAAGTAATCCTAAGAATGAAAAGCTAACCGAAAACTAAGTTTGTTTTTTCCTGAAAACACGCATGCAAACAAAGGAATTCTTACGTATGATGCACGATCCTCGCAGTAGATAGCGCTCTTTATGCGAGGATCGTGCATCATACGTATCTAATACCGCAGTTCAAAATATATGAACTTCATATATTCATTGTATCTGATTTATCATCACGGGTTTTTTACGAATCAACTTAACGGCCTGCTCCCAGTTGGCTTGTTAGCTCAATTGGTAGAGCGCTGCACTAGTATCGGACAGGTCAGTGGTTCGAATCCCGTATAGGCCTGATTTTTGTCAGGTCTGATTTTCGCTATTGCATAAATAGCGCTCTCTACTGCGAGGATCGTCCATCATACGTATCTAATACCGCAGTTCAAAATATATGAACTTCATATATTCATTGTATCCAAAGGAATTCTTATTGGAAATTTTCGCTGCTTTTAGTGAAGAACTTTGGCAATCCACGGAAAAAGATTACCTTTCGTTGAAATATTTTCCGAAAGTAATAAAATCTCCCTCGCTTACGGTCGAAAAAACTGTCCATTAATTTAGGAGAGATCCAGAGCAAAGAAAAAAGGAAATGACGTAGTAATAGCTTGAGTAACTAGTTCCAGACCTTCTCATTTCAGTCCCCAACTCTATTTTTCCCAGCTTGCCTTGTAGTCCTTGTTGATTTTGAAAAATGGCGGCGAACACAAAGCAAGCGAACAAGGCGATTACTTTGAAGGGAAGCGCTGAATTAGTCACGGAATTCTTTGGTAATGTTCTTTTCGCTTCCTTTTGATTTAGCACACTGTTACTCTGGAAAATAAAAATATTTTTTCACATTTCGTTACAGGTTACGGGATAAACAAGTGAGTTTCTCTGGCGTGTTTCTTATCGATCAACTTGTAGAGTGTTGTTGTTTGCTAGTTGACGTGTTTAAAATGTTGAGTGAAGACTTCACAAAGGACAAAATGACAAGTGTTTCGTTCATGTTTTGACTTTTTTAGTGTTTTACGATGAGCTTCTAGACATTTTTCATGTAGCTAATTTAGGACATAAAAAGTGGATGTCGATTGGACACCTTAGTAAGTTTGATTTACTTCGTACTTCATTTGAAACTTACAAAACTACTATAATCTACTTATAGCAGTTTTGTACGTAAAAATTTGAATATATCAACAAAGTTTAAATGGTAAATTGGCCACCGTTACGATTATAAAAGCTGACGTTTCGAGCGTTAGCCCTTCGTCGGGGCGAATGGTAAGTACGTTGGCCATAATCGTAACGGTGGCCAATTTACCATTTCAACTTTGTTTATATATTCAAATTATAATCTACTTACACTATCAAGAATAATCACGGGAACTGTGTGGTATAAATATTTTGATAACCTTTTTTATTTGAGTGATTGCTGATAATAAGCTGTAAAATCTAGAGTACAGAGATTACTAACTCTTCATCGACTTACTTCCTTAGGATAAGCTTACAATTATTGTACATTTATATTGTTTCATAAGCTCTTGATTTCCTCCTGGTCTTTTTTCCTTGCATTAGCATCTTGTATCAAAGAGGAATTTATCCGGCTGATTCTTTCAAGAGAGAGCAATTCTATGATTTGACCTTATTTGTATGTGTCAACAAAGATCTACAAGACTACCTGTCCAATGTACTAAAGCAGTTCAAAGGTAGGTATAAAACTGAAAAAGATATTTTTAATCATACCCATAGGAAGAAATTCAGTTGTGCAAAGAGGGGGGAGTGCTGAAGGCTATGCAGATTGTGGTGTTTCTTAATTAGCTGGAGACTCGTTACTGTCAAAGAGTGAGTGTGGTTGGAGGACGTCTTGTCTCAGAAAAATCTTAAAAGTGAAGATGGGCTGTTATGTGAATTGGCTTAATTTGGAGCACTTTTTTATTAGAGCAAATTTTTTGTTTTGGAACATTTCCTTCCTCTGTCACCCTCTCTATTCCCCTGGTAATTTTTACACACACATTTCATTCTGATGGGAGAGCAAAACAGGGCAGTACAACAGTCCCATCTGCTGACTTTGTGGCTGCCTTATTTCATTCTCCTACCTAAAGAAAAACATCTGAGAGCAGGTTGTCATTTAATCTGATTTTTGGCTTGTCTGTTATTCAGACTGGCTAGAGGACAATGCCCTGCAGCGGATTGTCATGGTCATAAGCGAGATAGACTCTGATGAAGTATTAGAGAGATGGCAGTTTGATATTCAATGTGAGAAGACTGAGCAGACAGAAAACAAGAAAGGAACTGGGTTTGTAAATGCCACATTGGATTGTTTCAATATTCTCTCTATTGCTACCTCATGGTTCTAGTGATACATACTGAACAATTACATTTTAGAGATTAAGATTCATAAAGAATGAATGTGCATGATTTCTGTAATTTTAGATTCCATATACTTATTCCAGACTCTTTGTTAGAGTAAACAAATAAAATAGTAGCCTCATGAGGCTTGGCAAGTGTTAAATGTTTCTTCAAACATGTCCACAGTTTTAAGTTGCCTACTTTATCTCCTGTCTCCAAAGTGAAAGAGTCTGGCTTGGGGTAAAGTTTGTGCATAAGTGGGTCATGGGCCTTGTGATGAACACTGTATGGAAGTTTTTGATGTTTTATCAGCCTGACCCACTGTTCTCGTATACAAAGCTGCCATGTAGGGCTCAGGCCTTTGAGTCCTGTCTTACGAGATTTGTTATTTTTTCTTTGTCTCCAAGATGGGCTACTTCTTAAGGCTGTGAAGCTCATCAAGCCCAAAGTTTTAATCAAGACACAGTAGAGCTGAGTTAAAAGTTATTGAGACCATTACATTCAATATGTGAAAAGCATTTCTGTTAACATTAATTTTATATGTTTTTTTTTTAAAGTAAACCTCCTGCATCAAAAAGCAAGAAAGATATTCAAAGAGAAATGAGGGATGTTATTAGGCAAATTACAGCCAGTGTTACTTTCCTTCCCTTTCTTGAGAGGCAATGTAAGTGTTATTCATTTTTAGATTTGTGGCAATGCATTGCTTCAGGTGTGAAAATTATGCTAATAATCAACTGAAAACAATAGTTTGTTTGCTTGTTTCTTTTCTTATCTTCAGGTGCATTTGACCTACTGGCCTATACTAACAAAGATCAAGAGATTCCTGAAACTTGGGAAGAGTCGCAAGCAAGGATCATTGCAAATTCACAAGAAGTGCGATTAAGGTCCTTCTCAACAACTGTGCACAAAGTTGACACCATGGTATCTTACAAGGGAGAGGATTGATGTGTAAAAAGAAAAGGGAAATTGCTTGTCCAGCACACAACAGCTGTACCAAAGTACAGATGTGGAGAGGAATCCACAGTTATTCTACAATGAGTTATTTTAAGTTTTATCAAACTGCAAATTCCTCAGGAGGTTGAGCCCAATGTGACTAGTGCAACCTTTTTAAAAAAAAATTACCAAAAAAAGGGGAAAACAAGAGAGAATATCTCAAGGAAATTGCTCTTTCAAGTTCAAGAGGTTATTTTCACTCTGAAAATTGACTTCATGTCAATTATGAAATTCATATCAAATAGTTTTGGTCTATAAATGTTTATCATTGTTATGATTTCAGTAAAGGCCAGTATATCAGTTTCTCACTTGAGGATGATTCTGAAAGAATTGAAATAACCAGCCACAGATGTATCAAAAATGAAACTGATATGGACTTTTCCATCCTCGATACTAGCAAAACAAGGAAACAAGTAGACTTAAATAAATATATTATATATATAAAACCCAAAAGAAAACAAATAGATTTGCTTGTGTTCTTATAGTTCTGTGTTTTTTTTTTTCTTGCTTTATTATTTAATACTTATTACTTTGGCGCCTAACGAGCTTAGGTATATAATCTTCCTAAGACTAGTCTGCTAAATTTATGTCTCCTTGTTTGAGGGTGTGGGTTGTCTCATAAAAATAGATTACATGTTGCAGTGTGTCTAGGTTCAGATATAAATAACAAATGACATCAAATTGTGGTGAAAACAATTAAGTGGTACAGAAGGCCCAGCTGAGTGTGTCACTAATTTTCTTACCACATTTTAACCTCTTCTGGGATTTATTACTGTACCGACCTACAACAACGTGGAATCTATTTTTTTTACATAATAAAAAAGGCAAAATGTTGTTGATGGTGATGTCATCTGTGTCTGTCCTACAATACAAATTAAAATGCATGTAGGTTTCAGCTTATCAAATAATTAACAATTATTCCACGAGCGCGCATTGAATATGAGATGATAGATAGCCAACGAGGCACGTAGTGCTGAGTTGGCTATAATCATCTCCTCCAACAAGTGCGAGTGGAATAATTGTTTTGTTAAAAACTCCCCCAAGAAATCATTATTTTGCAAGAAAAAACCGGATTTTTAGCTCCCTTTTGATTTTAAGCTGACACGTACGCTTGCCATATTTGTAGATTATGGTATATTGGCTCATATACCATAATGGCTGAGCCAATAAAAAGTCTTGAATTGCATTATCCAATGATCCAGTTTTTAATAATTATTCTTATCCTTCTGACTTTTTCTCTTTTGCTTTTTTTGTCAGTCAATTTATTTTTTGGCACCATCCTTGCAAATAACCTTTTGTAACCTTTTTAGAAAAGTGGGGGCTGACCTGTCTTGCGACCCCTTCAAACTCCTTCGTCCTCCAAATGCTAGAAAAACACAGGGTTCCCCAGTCCTGAATCTCTGGAGAAGGTAATTCTTGCGCAATACGAGTGGTTACCTAGCAAATGGATGCCTGGACGTTTTCGTTTTCAACTCGTAGTTTGTTTTGATTAATTCTACGAAAAGATCGCCTTTAACCGCCTTAACGGGCCCTTAAATTCTACTATGAAAGATAGACCTAGTTCTTTTGGTCTATCGATAGTGGATTAACTCAAGAAGTTGACAATCGCGTAAAGAACCCGTCTGAAAAAAGAACATGGAAGCCGACCAAAGATTCACACGTGTGACTCAAGATCCGCGATTTAAAGTAAGGTTTGAATTCAACTGTTTCATTTGATTGACTTTCCGAGCTACTCAAGCCTTTGATTAAATCATCATTTTCCCTTTGAATCATGTGAGTGATTCCGCGAAAAACTCATTTTAAAGGGAACACAAAGTCAGAAATCAATTAGCTTTACCCTAGTACTTGATTACAGATAGACTCTGATCGAAGCTTCTTCTACATCAGCATGCTCTTGTGGTATCTTTTTCAGAAAATCTCACAGAAGGAGAAGAAACTTAAGATCGATGGACGATTTCAGAAAATGTTTACGGATACGAGCTTCACAACAAAATGTAAGAAATCTATTTTAATTTCCTCTCACTTGATGTTATTCACCAGTGATTGTCAAACAAAATTAATTCTCCTTGTCGGTACCAAAACAAATGTGTAGAGGATGGAGTGGAGAATATGATTAAATATTGGATAGAGGTTATGTAACATATTTTTTTTTTATTTTGTCAAACGTATGTATTATTACGACGTATTAAATTATAAAAATGAATTAAAATATGTATTTATTTTGATCTACAGATTTTGTTGACAAGCGTGGCTCAAAAGTTCAACGAACATCTAAAGAAGATCTTCACAAATTTTATGAAATGTCAGAGGAATCAGACAAAGGTATAGGAAAGAACTCAAGCAAAACTTTGACAATCATAATTTGTTTCTTTTAATAACTTTTATTTAAATTTCTGTTTGTCACCGAAGCTCAAAGAAGATTAACCCTTTGACCAGCATCTAATTTCTCTTTACAATATCACCCCTGAATCACTCATTAAGGTCATGAGAATATAGGAAATGATCAACAACTAAACACGCTCTTGGATGTTAAACAAATTCTCCTTGTCAGCACCTTAGGAAATGTATAGAGAACAGTATGGAGAATATGCATACTGATTTTAGGGTGTAAAGGGTTAATTTGAGTAAATTTTTTCTGGAGTTAATCGTGCATTCCCTTCCTCACTCTTTCTCCATTACAGAAGAGGATAAAAAAGACTGGGAAGAAGGGATTGAAAAGAAAGGTGTCAACATGCCAATGGTCAGAAACAAAATGAAGAGGTACCACCAAGTAGTTTTTTTTCTTCATCCTGCTGGAAAACTTGAACATGTCTGAGGCAGGATTTACCAGTAGGCTGTCTCATAACTGTACAGTATTTTGAATATAACATCTTAGAGAGTTCTTGCTGTTATAATATTCTAAAATCTTCCTCTGTAAAATACTGGCTGGCTCCTACTACAGTCTTGTTTAAGGGTGGGTTTGTGGCTCTATGCGAATAAACTGTCAAGTGACTGATTTGTTTGTATGGTTATTTATTTGTCTAGAAAAGAAAAGAAGGAATTAAGACCTACGCAGAAAAACAAAAAGATAACAGAGAAGCTTCAGAAATCCCACAGTAGTGACGAGGAAGGAACTGAAGAAAGCATTTCAGATTTAAAACAAATTGATAGCAAAAAGAGACACAAAGATGACAACGACATTGATGAGGATGATGATGTGAGCTCTGGTAATGAAGAAGTGGACATTCTCAGGGGAGAAGGAGACATAGAATCTTCATCAGATGAGGAGAGTGAAGGCATTCCTCAAATTCAAACAAAAAAGGTTTGGACTAAGCTATTTCAAAACAATAATTTCTCTTGACAAAGCTTTTTTTTAAAACTTTCTTGATCCACATCTTAGGAAGATGTGGAGCATCCTTGGGGAGAAATGAGTGTTTCGACCAAAATTACAGAAGATGCTACAAGACGTCTTGCTGTGTGCAATCTTGATTGGGACAGAGTGACAGCCACTGACCTGTTTGGTAGGGAATATTCTTGTCGGTCACTTCATCTAAATCTTTTTTTGACAAACTATGTGTATCCTGCACAGCATACACTGTAACTAAAAGGAAACCTGTCTTTGACATCTGTCTTCTGTTGTTTTTTTTTTTCAGTCCTGTTTAACTCCTTCAAACCCAGAGAAGGTATCATTCAGTCTGTCAAGGTAATAGAAGTGAAAAAAATCCATGGGTCAGTCCTTCTTAGTTTTTCTTGCTCTACTTATAATTCTGATTTATTTATTATTTGGTTTGTTTGTGATGTAGATTTATCCCTCAGAATATGGACTAGAACAAATGGCAAAAGAGGAATCCCAAGGGCCAGTAGAGCTTAAAGATAATGTCAGTGACAATGATGAAGCAGAAGATGATAAAAACAGAGAGGTAATACTTTGAAGTTGTAAACTCTGACCAGTGGGAAGACTAATAAGCTAAAGTTTTTGAGATTTGTTCTAGGTATCAGTTTGCTGTGTTGTTTGCTGTTTGGCCATTTTTCCCACAAGTGGCGGTTTGGGTGTTCCACTGGTGGCCATTTGGGCATTTTGGCCATAAGTGGCCATTTTGGCATTTTTGCCACTAGTGGCCATTTGGGCATTATGGCTACTAGTAGCTGTTTGAGTATTTTGGCCACTAGCAGCTGTTTGGGAATTTTGGCCACCAGTAGCTGTTTAGGCATTTTGGCCACTAATGGCCATTTGGGCATTTAGGCCACTAGTGGCGGTTTGGGCATTTTTACCACTAGTGGCCATTTGTGCATTTTTACCACTAGTGGCTGTTTGGGCATTTTGGCCACTAGTGGCCGTTTGGGCATTTTAGCCACAAGTGGCCGTTGAGCATTTTTGTCACTAGTGGCTGTTTGGCCATTTTGGCCACTAGTGGCAGTTTGGGCATTTTTCGGCACTAGTGGCCATTTGCGCATTTTTACCACTAGTGGCCGTTTGGGCATTTTGGCCACTAGTAACCATTTAGGAATTTTGGCCACTAGTAGCCATTTGGGCATTTTGGGCAGTAGTTACTGTTTGGGAATTTTGGCCACTAGTAGCCATTTGGGCATAGTGGCCATTTGGACATTTTGGCCACAAGTGGCCATTTGGGCAATTTTGCCACTAGTGGCCGTTTGGGCATTGTGGCCAATAGTGGCCATTTGGGCATTTTGGCCACAAGTGGCCATTTGGGCAATTTTGCCACTAGTGGCCGTTTGGGCATCTTGACCACTGGTGGCCGTTTGGGCATTTTGATCACTAGTGACCGTTAAGGCATTTTGGCCACTAGTGGCCGTTTTGGCATTCTAGCGACTAGTGACCATTTGGGCATTTTGACCACCAATGGCCTTTTGGGCATTTTGGTCACTAGTGGCCATTTGGGCATTCTGACCACTAGTGGCCGTTTAGGCACTTTGGCCACTAGTGGCCGTTTGGGCATTCTGACCACTAGTGGCCATTTGGGCATTCTGGCCACTAGAGGCCATTTTGGTCATTTTGGCCACGAGTGACTGTTTGGGCATTTTGGCACTAGTGACCGTTTGGGCCTTTTTTAGCCACAAGTGGCTGTTTCAGCATTTTTGCCATTAGTGACTGTTTGGCCATTTTGGCCACTAGTGGCCGTTTCGGCATTCTGGCCACTAGTGGCCGTTTGGGCACTTTGGCCACTAGTGGCCGTTTGGGGATATTGGCCACTAGTGACCATTTGGGCATTCTGGCCACTAGTGGCCGTTTTGTCATTTTGGCCACTAGTGGCCATTTGGGCATTTTGGCACTAGTGACCGTTTGGGCATTTTAGCCACAAGTGGCCGTTTGAGCATTTTTGCCATTAGTGGCTGTTTGGCCATTTTTGCCACTAGTGGCCATTTGGGCATTTTGGCCACTAGTGGCCATTTGGGCATTTTGGCCGGTAGTGGCTGTTTGGGCATTTTTGCCACTAGTGGCCGTTTTAGCATTCTGGCCACTAGTGGCCATTTGGTCATTTTGGCCACTAGTGGCCATTTGGGCATTTTGGCCACAAGTGGCTGTTTGGGCATTTTGACCACTAGTGGTCGTTTGGGCATTCTGGCCACTAGTGGCCCTTTGGGCATTTTGG